GGGCGTACGCGATCGGCGTTTCAATTCGTAACGCATATTTTGCTCTTCTTTTTCCTTGCTGCTCTCTTGCGTTCTCTCCTGCACTTCTGATTAGCTACTTCTGAACTTGATCGAGAGGCGTCTTTCATGTTCTTACCTTACTTGCCTCCTCCCCTCTCCTTTCCCCTCATCTCCCCTCCCCTCCCTTCCCCTTCCCTCCCCTCTCTCTTCTCTTCTCCTCTCCTCTCCTCTCCTCTCCTCTCCCTCCCCTCTCCTCGCTCCTCTCCACTCCTCCCCTCGTCTCCCTTCCCCTCTCTCCTCTCCTCTCCTCTCCTCTCCTCTCTTGTGTCGACTTGTCTTGTAGCGTCATGACATGTCGACCGCTCGTTCAGATTTGGCTGCCGGGAGGAAGACACAGTTTCAAGTTCCTGGAAGACGGCGCGGTAACACGCAAGACAGGCTTCACTTTGACAACTGACTTGACATGCGCAGTGGAGGTTGTCCGATGACTTTCCGGTCGAAGACGACGGAGTTCGCACAGACGGAAACAATGTGATGGTCGTTGAGCCGCCTGTGCAGAGGAAGAAGAAGAAGGCAGAACAGTAAGACAGAGATGTGATGTTGAAGTTGAGGTTTTGACGGTTGTTCTCCCCCTCCTCTCCTCTCCTCTCCTCTCCTCTCCTCGTCCAGGTGTCTTGAGCAATCTTCACTCTCAAACGCCTCAGTAGCGATGAGAACAATCAGCGCGAACGAAGTGAGAGAAGATCCCCATCCTCCGGGTGACTGCAAAGCAGCCGATGCAAACTCCAACAACGTCGTTGATGTCGCAGAAGAGAACGTGGAAGAAGAACAGATCGAAGAGACAGTCATCCACAGAGAGGAGATGTATGCACGAGGAGGAGGCAAGATGGAGCAGGAGCAGGAGCAGGAGCAGGAGCAGGAGCAGGAGCAGGAGGAGAAGACAACGGAAGAGGATGAGAATTTCGTTCAGGACTTCCACGAGCCCAACAGCGCAGACGACATCCTGCAGGATCATAGCGCTGGGGAGCTGGACAACGACGACGATCTCTATACTACGGTGAATGAGATACAGGTGAGGTTACCACCTTGTCGATCCTAGCCCCCCTCACCTCAACGTTGACAGGAGCTTCAGAGAGACATTGAAATGCTGAAAGGCCAAAGAGAATGCAGGCAGCTTGCCGGTGCGGGCGGGCGGGAGGAGGAGGAGGAGGAGGAGGAGGTGATGGAGAAGAGGATGAAGGAGGAGGAAGAGGGCGGGGGAGCAAGTTTGATGTCGACATCGAAGACTATGCAGAAGGCTGGACAAGGACAAACACCTTCATCTTCATCCTCGCCGTCAGGAGCAGCAGAAGTTGAAGCAGCAGCAGCAGACGAAGAAGAGATGAGGACAACAGCAAGAGAGCCAGCACTGCAGGCAACAACACCAGTTGAAGTAGCAACAGCATCAGCGACAGCAACAGCAACAGCGACAGCTAGAACAGAAGTTGCAGCAGCTGTAACATCATCATCATCAGCAGCAGCAACAGCAACAGCAGCAGCATCAACAAAGGCGACATGCAGGAAGAAGACAAAGAAACATCACTGGTCTGACCTCCTGCTGTTGGACGCGCTCGCGGGACTGAAGAAAGAGTTGGAAGCGGAGAAGATGACGGCAGTGAAGGGGCCCGGGAGCGAAGAGAAGGAGGAGGAGGAGATGAAGATGATGGAGATGAAGAAGATGGCCGAAGATGAGAAGATCTGCCAGGAGATACGAAAAAGGTCGCAAGAAAGGTTGAGGGTGAAGGGCAGATGGCTGGAGGAGGAGGACGAGCAGAGAGCTGGGGTCGCTGTCTGCCAGCGAGAGAAGAGGAGGGAGGTGGAGATTGAGGAGCGAAGGATCGAGGAGGAGCGAAGGATCGAGGAGGAGCGAAGGAGGGAGGAGGAGCGAAGGATCGAGGAGGAGCGAAGGATGGAGGAGGAGCGAAGGATCGAGGAGGAGCGAAGGAGGGAGGTCGAGCGAAGGATGGAGGAGGAGCGAAGGATCTTTGAGGAGCGAAGGATCGAGGAGGAGCGAAGGATCGAGGTGTACCGAAGGATGGAGGAGGAGCGAAGGAGGGAGGAGGAGCGAAGGATCGAGGAGGAGCGAAGGATCGAGGACGAGCGAAGGATCGAGGAGGAGCGAAGGATCGAGGACGAGCGAAGGAGGGAGGAGGAGAACAGAATGGCTCGCTCCGTCACCTTGCGAAATCGTCAAGAGGCACATGTGGAGGAGGAGCTCGAGAGACGGGGGAGGCAGAGGCGGCAGACGGAGAGTAGGAGCAGGAGGGAGCAGGAGGAGCAGGAGACTTGCAGAAATCTGCTGGTGCGCCAAGATGGTCAGAGGAAGAGACTTGGAACGATTGACTGGGAGGAGAAGAGGAGGAAAGACGTCAGAGAGAAACAGGTTTCTTCCCCTCCCATCCTTTCCTATCCACTTCCCCACCCACCCTCCATTTCCCTTCCTTCCTTCTTCCCCCCCCGTCCTCCTTCTCCTTCTCCTTCCCTCCCTCCCCCTTCCTCTTCCTTGCTTCCTCTTTCTCCCTCCCCCTTCCTCTTCCTTGCTTCCTCTTTCTCCCTCCCTGCTGTCTCCGTCCTCTTGTCGTTGATGCTCGTGCTCAGCTGTTGGCACTGCAAGCATGGGAGGACGCGTCTCGGGCTGCAGCGGAGGAAGCAAACGAGAGGAGGAAGATGCGGCGGAAAGCTCGAAGGCTGGGGGAGCAGGAGGAGGAGCTTCAGCGCAGGCTGGGCGAGGCGAGGAAGCAGCAGGAGACATTGCGATCGCACGAGGAGGAGGTGAGGAGGAGGCTGCAGGTTCAGAGCAAGAAGATGCGAGGTATGCGAGTCTTCGCGGAGGAGGAGGAGATGCGGCGCAGGGTCTGTGAACTGCAGGAGGGGAAGAGGAGGGAGGAGGAGAAGTGGGAGAGGAGCCGCAGGCTTGAGGAGCAACGCTTCGTGTGGCAGCTTGCGTTGGAGGAGGATGCGAGGAGCAGAGGAGAGCAGGCGGAGAGACAGCGACTGCTGCTGGAGAAGAAGGAGCAGGAGCAGGAGCAGGAGGAGCAAGAGCAGATTCAGAAGGCTGTGCTGGAGAGGAGGAGGAGGCAGGCATGCAGGCTGGAGGAGGAAGAGAGAGGGCGGAAGGAGGTGCGGAAGGTGGAGGAGGCCAAGTGGAAGGTGGGGATGCTGCTGGAACAGCGAGCTCGAGCTGTTGCGTCCATCAGGAGGGAGGCGGAGGAGGAGGAGGAAGAGAGGAAGGCTCTTGCGGAGAGACAGAGAAGCAAGCACGGCGCTTGCATCGAGGAGCTTCGCTTTCAAGAGCAGGAGGAGCAGGAGGCTGGGAGGAGGAGGAGGCTGGATCTCCAGGCGGAGCAGGCGGAACAGGACTGGAGCAGCAGGAGGAGGATCGCGACAAGACAAACGGCAAAGCTGCACGCTCAGCTCCTGGTGAAGCGAGATCCAGGTCCTGCTCCTGTTGTCCCTTCTCTCTCCTCCTCCTCCTCCTCCTCCTCCTTCTCCTCCTCTACTTCATCAATCCTCACCTCTCCCACCTTTCTCACCTCGTACCTCCTGTCAATTCATCTCCCCCTCCTTCTCCTCCCCTCCTTCTCTCCCCCCTCCTTCTCCTCCCCCTCCTTCTCTCCCCCCTCCTTCTCGTTTCACCCTCCTACAGGTGCAAACTCCTCCTCCACCCCCGACCCCAACGATGAGCTCCAGAGGCGAGCCGACGATCTTCTACTGAAAATGCGAGAAGAGGTTCAGCCCTGACCTCCTCCTCCTCCACCACCACCACCACCACCACCACCTCCTCCTCCTCCTCCTCCTTCTACCTCCTCCTTCTACC